CCAGCCTGCCTTGGACAGAGAGGAAGGGGGAGAGATAGAGAGTTAGAAACATCAATCAGCTGCACACCTCCTACTGGGGATGTGCCTGCACCACAGTACATGCCCTTGACTGGAATCGAACCTGGGACCTTTCAGTCCGCAGGCCGACACTCTATCCACTGAGCCAAACCAGTTAGGGCATACAATTTTCTTTCTTATTCTATACTCTTGCTCCCCCCCTTTTTCTTTTTTCATTGATATGTGATTCAGCTTTGTTATGTGTCATTTGCCAAAGCCTAAATGTATGTACAAAGACAAAGAAAACAAAAGTAGAATCTTTAAAGTTATGTTTTAGGAAGTTGCAAGTATACATGTTTTTGGTTTTAAAAAGTGGAGAGAAAGGCTACAGATATTATATGTCACTAGTAAATTATATTCTTGGCTTAGCTATCTGTTGTAAAGACTGGATTGCTAAATATCACTTAAGGATATGTAAGAAGGGGGTTAGAAGGATATTTATGGAAATCCCTTCTCTGACCTCTTCTCCCCTCAGCCATTTTCTTTGAATGTTGGATTGTATTTAATAAGTCTGTGAAAGTGGAAGCAGTAAACAGGAAATTGTGCCGTATGGTAAAAAAAGAAAAAAGAAAAAAACACATAAAAGGGGGCTTTGTAAAGTAGAACAAGAGAAGCCAGAAAAAATTCAGAGGATTCTACTAAGGAATATGCTGTGAGTGGAATACTAGTCAGAAGTCAGATCAATGAAAAAGATTGCATCCAAAGCAGCTAGAATTATTCTTTTGAGGTTATCAGGAGATCATCAGGTTGTATACTCTGTAGTATTTATATTCAATTATTTTTTATGATTTAACTATGTAATCATAACAACTTCAAAAGTTCTTAAAAATTATGCTTTGTTTCTCCTCCTGATACAATCTTACTAGGTATATGTGGTTGCTATGAATATTAAAAAGGAAGCCGAGTCGAAACCAAAAAGAGCAATTAAAAATACTGACGATGATGATGATGATTATGGTACCATAGATGAACTACCACCAGATAGTTTAATAACACTTGTACAACCTGAACTGCCCACACTCAGCCGCCTGTGGTTAGCAGCATTAAAAGACTATGCACTTTTGACTTTACCAGCTGAATTTGCCAGCCAGCTCCCCCCAGATGGTAAGTACTGCATTCAGAGGTATGCTTTTATGGAGTTCTGAGGAGTAATTAAACAAATGGAATTGGTGGAGGCTAAGCAACAGTTATAATAGCATCTTAAATTTCTGTGAACTTCAGCTTGGCATTCTCTCACTTAGAGCATGTTCTCCATATTGAATTTGTGAATTCATATAGAGCATTAAACATACTTGTTAGCCAAAGCAAAAATGTTCTCACTATTATAGTGCTAACTATGAGTTAGGGTATTCTAAACAACTATGCATAACAAGTAATTATGCAAATGCATGATGAAGTATATTGCTGAGCTGGTCAGTGTACGTGTGCAAGGACAGGCGAGGAAGTCCTCAGTTTGGTACTGAAAACAGGTGCAGGGAAGAATGGCAGAAGAAAGGAAAAAAGAAAGAAGCAACATAGTTCCCTGGCTATGACAAAAAGAGAAGGTGATAAGGGTTTTATGTTCTCTGGCAACAATAAAGAGGAAGCCTGGGGCCACAGGGTAGGGATGCTCTTTTGTATGTGCTGTGGTCTGAATGTTTATGTCTCCTCAGAATTTCTTGCTAAAACCTAACCTCTATTGTAAGGGTATTAGGAGGTGGTGCTTGTGTCGTGAGAGTGGAGTCCTCATCAATAGGATTAGTGTCCATATAAAGAGACCCCCTCAAAGGAAGAGACCCCCGCCAACAGTGCTCCGTAACCCCTTCCAGCATGTGAGAACACAGCACAAAGGTGAACAGGAAGAGGGCCCTCAGTGCACCCTGGTCTCGGACTTCCAGCCTCCAGAACTATGAGAAATAAGCTTTTGTTGATATAAACCACCCAATCTGTGGTATTTTGTTACAGAGTCTGAATGGACTAAGACAGTATGAAATGAGTATTTTTAGTTAGTTGTACATAAGTGAGTGAACAATTAGAATACAAGTAATGTTTTTGATTGATTTGATTGTTTCATAGGTGGAGCATTTTATACTCCCGAGACCATTGATACAGCTAGACTTCACTACCGGAATTCCTGGGCCCCCATTCTCACT